TAACATATTTATACAATGTTGTCATGATTACCACCCCATGCAAAATCAGCAGCGGTGGCATCGGAAATGGACTTGTACCCAAGACGGGGGTTGAAAAGGGGTGCTGGAGGAACCTCTGCAGGGTTTATGCCTTTTAAAAACCCACTTTCGGGCCACGAGGGCGCATCTCTGTCGACGCTTCATGTGAAAGCGCAGACGGGGTGTGCCACATGCTGTACACTCACACGCACCGTTTGCGGAGTAGCACCTCCGTATTCGCTTCCCCTCTGCGAACCACCCTCCGGTGGAAAGCCACGGTGCCTGAAGCGACTTGGTAGGGACTGTCATCCTGCCTGGCCGCCCGGTTTTTTTGGAGAGGAGAAGTTGGCAAAGGGATGTGACTGCGATGATGGCGCTGCAGCTGAAGAACGGGGATGCAGCGTACTACCAGAGTGCAGAGTACTGCAGAAATTACACTTCGCCGCCTGTCAGCTACGGTGACAGCAGCCATTATCTTGCCCGATTGCCAGGTAAGGAGATGGCTTGCCATACAGGATCCCCCCCCCCCTCCTCTGACTGTCAGCGGTCTTATGTGTGCGCTAATGTTGCAAAGGGATGGAGGAAAAAATCTTAACCAGAGACATTTGCAGATGGCACAGAGGAAGCTGGAAACCGGTTGCCCTGGTTGCTGGTGTCATCCCCATCATGTCATGTAGGGAGAGAGGGGAGAGAGGGGAGAGGGGGTGCATCATCAGCAGTCATTCTGTCCAGCTTATGGATGCTGCGATGCAAAAAAATCTGAGGTTGTCGAGATACTCTAATGGTCTCTTATACTGGGGGGAGCTCTAGGGAGACTCCAGGTTTGAGCTGATGTCTGACTGTGATCTTGCATAGGCTTCACTCTCACCTCACCGAGTATGGCAGTCAATCAAGAGCTGTATTGTCAGAGCAAGTGAAAAGAAATAGAAAGTGAATCGTTGCTGCTCCATTCACTCCTTATAGCCTTTTGCGCTGCTTGATCCGCACAGCTGATGGTGGCATGTGGCAATTACACAGTAAGTGTTTCTTCACTGCACCTGCACGGTCGCTGCCAAAACAGCCATTTGGCTGCGGGTCTTGGGGACTTGAGGCCAGCATGTGTCATAGTCGTGTAGGTACACCACTGTCATCTTCACTCAGCCTCTGTCATGTGGAGATTTTGCAATGATGGCATCATTTGATTGAAGTTAGCAGAAGTTATTTCGACAAACTAATTAAGTCATCAAAAAAGTAAAGAAACAAAATGTTGTTTGTGAATAAGTTTGATGATAATTTGGGTCCTTTTTTTATTAGTATTTCTGACATATTACAGAGTAAATCATTAATAAATTATTCAACTAAGCTTGATGTCCGGTGCCAGTTGTTTCCTATAAACAGGAATAATCACTAATTGATATATTAATAGCAGCCCATTGCATAGGCCAAGAGAGTAGAATACATCTCACTTGATGTTTACAATAATGAATGACATTCGAAACCCTTCAGCGCTACTTAGACTTAAAAATAAAAGCGGAAGCTAGGCTTTACTGTAATGGTACAGTAATATGTATCTGGTCTTGGCTGCTTTCTGCACTCGTCCAGTGCCCAGTGAAGCAGATGGAATAAGTGCAGGAGGCATGTGCTTCTCATCGCTCCATAATTGATGTGACACAACACAGTATGGCAAGAAAAAACTCTAGAGAAAACGAACACTTGGCCTATTTAGAGATTCTCAGTGGAGGCCATGAGATGATCAGGCTCTAGGACAGGAGTTTTTTTTTTTTGTGGCTTGGTTCAAAACCAGCAAACTGATAAATCGAGTCCAGACTAACTTCGGACGTAGTTTCAAGTTCGCCTACAACATCTCTCTCAAATATATCCACTGATCACTTGCTGCCTTGTGCTTCAGCAATATTACATAACATTAATCCTGATAATGACTTGTAAAGTTGATCGTGTTTTCCCCAAAAACTCAAATCCAAAGCAACAAAGGTTTTTTTTTTTGACTTTGCAGCAAGGTCCACTGCTGTGTGAACATGCACAATGTGCTGCAGCTCTGTAGACTGCACTTTGTGGGCCTGGATCTGGGTCTCTGAGGAGGAGGACAAAACTGCCCTTGGCCTATCTAGCTCACATTGAACCTATTGAAAGATAACAACTAAAGTGGAAGAGGCATCAATCTTCTCTTTATTATGTGCAGTGGTATAATTAAAGCTGTACTGTTTACTCTCTTATGTTCTTGTGGGAGGATCCTATTTTTTTATCATCATAGAGTAAATGGTTGTTTTGGCTACCACAGTGTTGACGAAGAACTGTTCGTAATCAGCACACTCATAATGTTTTTGTGGCTGCTTTGGGGTTCTCTTCTGGATAATAAGGGTACGTTTTGCTCTCCTACACTGTCACCTAGGCTTAATAAAGAGTTATGGGACTAAGATTGTTAGAGTTATAAGTCAGTTATGGGCAATAACTTCAATATTTCCTCTCCTGCTAGAAGAAAAACAAATGTGCTCACAAATGTGATCAGAGTGTTGGAATTTAGCTTGTTTCCCCTTCAAAACCAATCAATCGTTGCTCACAGTTCACATCTTAATCATAATAGGGTGTAAGAAGTTTAGAACATAAAAAACAGAAATGAAGGTGGAGGTAAAATGTAAATGCAATTTTATTTTAGTTTTATTATTATTATTAAGTTGTTATAGTCAGTCCAGTCTAGTGTGCACAATTGTTCATTTATTCTATGATCAGAGCAACTGATATGTAGTAAAACGTCCAGTGTGTTAAATTTAGGAAGATCTGTTGGCAGGAATTGGAATATCATATTTAATAGGTGCGATTTTATTAGTGTGTAATCACCTGGAAATAAGAATTGTTGTGTTTTTGTTACCTTAGAATGAGCAGTTATTATCTACAGATGTTTCTACAATAGCCCAGAACCGACAAACCAAACAGTGGCTCTAGATTAGGCCTTTCATGTACTTTTTAAGACTGAGCTGTATTCAAATGGTTGCAATCTGCAACTTCACCACTAGATGCCACTAAATCTTAAACGCTGGTCCTTTAAATGTGGGGCATGCCATCCTAGAGGAATCCAATAACATGACAAATACCATAACATAGAGCAGGCAACAACACAGCAAGTAACCAACATTAGATTGCCTGAAGTTGCTCCTGCTCCTAACATGTAGAAAGGACGAGACGGTTCCCCAGAGCCAGCACACCAGCTCCAGACAACAACAACATATCTTGGCAAACGAGGAAGTAAGCTGCATGTCCGTGGGCAAGTCATTTAAAGCCACCTGGCACACAAATCATGGCGGGAGTAGGGTTGAGTGATCCGCCCCGAACCACTTTGTTTGTTTCCAGTTCTGCGTACAATCACTGGATTCTTCCAAACTGAATGGACAGCTAGTGGACAGTGAGGAGATATTTGAGTTATTAAGTGTGTATTGGATTTGACTCACATACCCAGCCTTTAATGATAATATCAAGCAAAAAGGGTCAGACGTCCTTTGTGCTCATAATTGCTGCTGTGGTGAGTTTTCCGGACTGCTGTGCAGGCTGTCTCAATCAGGGTTGCAGGGTCCTCATGGGGCTGCTGCTGCTGATGATGTGCCGTATGTGATTGGTGGATCTGGTTCTGGATGGTGTTAATAGTGATTGTTGAGCACTGAGAATGTGTCTGACTCAACAGCACCAGTGAAAAATGGGAATATTTGAAGCACCATCCTGCTGTATTGTAACACCTTTTGGGCCCTCTTTTAACCTTTTAATGGCTACAATATATCCATTTATTTTAACTTTCCGTGTTTATCGTAACATGTTTTGTCTTTACGAAAGCTGTCATTGCTGTGATGAGCTCCCCAAAACAGCAAAAGTAAAAGTGTTCCGTAGCAGGATAAACAACGCTCACAATGCTTTTTACTTACATGCAACTGCTGCATAATAGTACTTTTTTAATGTATAAGCAACTCATCCAGCTCTGCTGAATCCTCCACAGTGTCATCTTGCAGTTGCCTGTAGTAAGGTCAGTGGCTTGTCCGGCATACCTTTCTCCTGAGGTCAGCCAGGCCAGGTGACAGACAGGCAGCTGGACAGACTAGACAGACGGACTGACAGCGAGCAGCAGTCGGAAACACAAACACTCTGGGGTGTTATTTTGGGTCCATGAATCACTGGCATTGGGCGTCCAATTGGATTCCATATAAAAGCTTCCAGCACAGTGAGTTTTGACACAGCTGTTGGCCTATTACTGACCTGATAAATTATATAGTTATATACTCACACACACACACACACACACACACACATACACACACACACACAAAATGGAGCATTAGAGTGGCACAGATGAACGCACACAAATCAGCACATTGCCTAATATAATGCTTTCTTTCTGTTTCTTATACATACACAACCATGTCTACCATCTAATTACACACACACATACACACACACATAAACTATATCAGCCTATTCGAGCAGTCACACTTCAGGCTGTGATCTCTTCTGTTCGGGGAAGCTTGAGGATTTTATTGTCACTGTCTCTGTTTGTGTGTGTGCACATGCATGCATGACTGCAGGCGCTGCAGGCTCAGCCTAATCTTTATGATGCCCACTGGAGTGTGAAGCTCCTCTGTCCGAGAACGTGTTTCCATTCACCCATCTCTTTACATCTCTTCTGCCTCCTCAGGGAATATGCTTTATGCCTTAGTGTCACTGTACATTGGTCATTGGATTTTCATCAAGTTCCTTTTCGTTTGATCATCTATGATTAGATAGTACCCACTTAAATCTGTAGTATCTGAAGCGTTAGCAACAGTCTAATCCAATGTAAATCATATCTTTATTTTTCCAAGGCTGTTTACAGATTGTAATGTAATTCAGTAGGATATCTTAAAAACATATTTGCAGATTTTAGTGAAAAATTAGGCTACAATATAGCCTTATATGGTGGTGCCAGAAGAAAAGCCATTTGACATTTATATACTTAATTTGAATGTCTGTACCAAATTTTGAAATCCTTCTACAGTTACAATTTACTGGAAAAGTGAAAGATTTGGCATGCTGGTAGAGCTGAATGAATTCAAGAAGAGTCACTAGATCATCAGAGTCATTAGGATTCATATTCTGTGGACCAGAAATGACTGTACAAAATGTCATGACAATCCATCCAATAGTTAAGATATTTCAGTCTGGACCGACCAACTGAAATGCCATGGCTGAAAACTTTTTGCTTGCACTTTTCGAATGCTTTATAGTTTCCTTGAATATACAGTAGAAGTATTTGTGTTCATACAAGTGTAAAAATCAAGGCCTTAAAGCAAAAAAAGGCATGCAATAAAAAGGGTAAAATTGTATTTTCACAAGGTGAAATGGCAATTATATAATATAATATAACAATATAATAATATAATTCCTTCATGTATTATTGCACTCAGGCACTGAAGTCCTTGACTCCATCAAGGTTACTTTTTAAGTTCTTTGTAAGAAATGTCTTTGATTTAGCAATATCATAATATCTGTATGTGTATGTGCCTCTGGTGTCCACAGGCCCAGAGACCATGTTGAAGCCTCCTCTGAGTCTCTTCAGCCATCCCCAGCAGCCTTTCCAACACATGGACTCTCTGCACCAGCTGGGACCCCCGCCAATGGCTCCTACGCAGCCTCTTGGCCCACCACCCATGGCCCCTGCTCAGGCCATTGGACCCCCAACTATGGTTCCCCAGACTCTAGGCCCCCCTCCCATGACTGCAACTCACACATTAAGGCCTCCCCCTATTACCCCACCACACAGCTTAGGCCCCCCTCCAATGGCCGCAGCTCAGCCACTGGGGCCTCCACCAATGGCGCACACGATGTTGCCCCCACCTGTAGATCACACTCAAGCAATGGTGCCTCCAACCATGGACCTCACACAGCCGTTGGGGCCTCCACCTCTCAACCCTGCACATGCAATGGTGCCCCCACCCGTAGTGGCGCCTGGAGCCAACAGATACCCGCTCCCTCCCAGCCCACTGTCCTCCCCTCCTGCGCCGGGCCCAGACCCTTCACAGATGCCCCCAAGGCACCCAGGACCGGCCCTCATCCCAGCCCCAGTGTCCTGCCTCATCCCTGGTCCTCTCCCGGGTCAGGCAGCCCCAGCCAGCGAGCAGCCCCAGGATGAGGGCTCTCCACTGGGGATGGAGGAGCAGGATGACTCTCTGGGGCTGGGGGAACTGTGTAAACCACTGTACTGTAAACTCTGCAACGTTACCCTCAACTCCGCTCAGCAGGCACAGGCTCACTACCAGGTCAGTTGAAATACACGATGTACAAAATATGCAATATGATACACACATTTATATCTCCTTATCTATCTTTCTAGGGGAAGAACCACAGTAAAAAGTTAAGAAATTTCTACGCTGGCAGTCAACAGCCTCCAGCCATCAGGATCCCAGAAGTCCTTGAGGCAGCTGGCCAGACGTCCCTCAGCTCAGGATCCAACGACAGTGACGCAGGCAGACAGGTCAGATCCAAATTAGCAGCTCAGCATCAACCTACCTAGATGTTACAGTTTTAGTTGAGTAAGTGGGTGTACTGCTGCTGAAGTGGCCAATCTGATGATAGAGGTCGTTTTCCTCTGAGGAGGTGGTAGGGAACTGCAGAGTCACTCTGCCTTATTACAGTAGAAACTAAAATCATCCACTCACCACTGAACAATCGACTGTCTCTACGTACTGTAGCTGCATTTTAAGTAAAACATCTACTTCCTGTGACTCCCTGAATGTATTTTTTTGCTATCAGTGTTACCAATATTTAAAATTAACTTCAAATTAAAAGCTGGAAAAACCACCTTCTCTGCAACTGAACATGTACCTTTATAAAAGATCAAAAGAAAACAATGAGAAAGGGACAAGATAAATTAAATAACAAGAGACAGGATGTCTAATTACTATTAGAGCATACAATTACTGTGAATGAAATTACTATAGATAATAAAGTTCTAAGACTTTAACGCAGCTATGATCAGTATTTTTGCCCATCAAATGGCAATGTGAAAGCCATGTGACAATGAAGGGTTTCTCACAGACAATTTCCACAATAACACAAGCAGTTTTGTATTATATATACATGATATGATCTAATGAGCCTTAAAGTATAAAAATGAACATAAGCTGCAAGTGTTAATGTTTTCCTAATCTTTTCAATGTTGTTCAACTAATAATATGACTATTTTGGGCTTGGAAGTGATTTCTTTCATGATTTAATAACTTTCTTCAGTGTGTATTTTCCAGTGGAAAATCTTAAGGAGTTGCGCAAGAAATTCTTTTCCTCCTCCCACCGGACCTAACAATTTCTTTCTTCTCTTCTCACTGTTTACTTCCAAACTCCTCTCCCCACAAACACTGCATTGCTTTGTCCTGTGTCTACAGGCGTTGTATAAGGGGGCGACCCGGGTCATCTTGGCCACAGAGAATGACTATTGTAAGCTTTGTGACGCCTCCTTCAGTTCACCGGCAGTTGCGCAGGCTCACTACCAGGGCAAGAACCACGCCAAGAAACTACGGCTCGCTGAGGCCCAACAAAACTCCATTAACATGTAGGTTTAAGTATAGAAAACGTTTGCAGTATACTTATTTCTTTTATGTATTTGAGTAATAAAGTCAAATTTTAGCTGTAGACCTGAATTTAAACATCTAATAAGGTATAAAGTATGTGTCTCTACATTCATTTATCCAGGTAACTGTCGGGTTTGACTTTCTCCCAATTATAAAGTTGTAGTTTGAGAAAAGCCACCCAACTACACTTTTAAAACATAGCTGGTTTTGGCTTTGTTAATTACTGAATGAGCCAAGCTAAACTTTTTTAAAGATTTTACTCACCCCTGGGATCAAACTGAGGTGATTTGTTTGTTTCAGGGAAGGCAGCAATGAGGCAGCCCCAAGAAGAAACAGGAAAGATGGCAGTGAGTACAGACTGGTGAAAAACCGCCGCAGCCCGCAGCTACCCGCTTCTATGCCAGGTAAAATATTTTGAATAAATAAATAGAAGACTTAAACACACAGAGACACTTACTGACTTGGACCTGGTCTGCTTAATTTTGAACTTTTAATGTTCAACTGTTAAAATAACGGTTAAGATATAAATATACAAATGAGCTACAAGATGATTTGTATGTGTCAATACAACACATTAATCCAACTCATTTGAGCTCTTTATACTAGAGAAACTAGAGAACACCATATATCAGCCACACTAACGAGCTACTGTTAGCAGCTGAACTGCCTCTTTGAATAACTGACCACATACAAAGAGTTAGATTAGATAAACAATCAGCAGTCAACTGTTCCTTTGTTTCTGGATTATCTTGTTTTGGATTATCTTCAAAGACAATGTAGCTCCTCTTGACCACTCTGGTACATCTTTTGCACTTCTACAGAATCCAATAGTCCACGCCACTGTGCAGCATAGGCATTTATACTGGGAAGTCAATTTTGCTGTCTAGAAGGGCTACTATGACCTCTAATAGCTGACTGAGTTGTTGTGGACTCCCTCGGGGGAAAAGAAAATGTAATGTAAAAATACGTCAGTGAAGTAAACTGCTGCAGCTGGCTTAGAAGATATGGTGAACACAAGAAAACACGAAAACATTTTATTCCTAAAACGAGATGAATGGAAATTTTGTATTGAAAACCAGTTTTTTCATAAGTATTATAACAAAGTCAGCTTTTTATTTGACACTTTATTGGCTTGTTTAAGCCCACTCTACCAGCCGGTTTTCAACAGCTTTTGAATGTGGCATTTCTTTTCCTGTAGCAATAACACTGTGCAATAAATCTAAGAAATAATCTGGTAAATATTGGATTTATTTGGTCATTTGATTTTTATTTTTTACACTGGAGCACCCACTTTTTAAACCTCCTTTGATGTTTTGGAAAGGCTGACACAAAGCTGCACCACTGTATCACTGAGAGTAACATGGTGATACACATTTTACCAGTGTTTAAGGGTTAGCAAATTAAAATTTATTGGCTGAAAGCTTCTCTTAACTTTGCCACGTTTTGTGTTAGTGTCTGGTTTCGCCTTTGTGCGTGTGAAAACAGATCCAGAAAAAGGTAACGTCAGACTTTCTGCTGACGTCAAACAACTATCTCTTTCTTGCCGTCTTTCGCTATGTCTCTGTTTTTCCACCGACAAAAGGAGTAGCACCTCAGCTCAAGATAAAGCAGGATAAATCATACAGTGGAGCCAATTCCCTTCCTTGCTCTTTCTCTCTCTCTCTCTCTCTCTCTCTCTCTCTTTCTCTCGCACACACACACACACCACAATGTTCTGCTGATTTAATCAGTTTTTCTTGATGGACAAACCCCAAAATAGCTGCACTCTCTCCTGCGGTTGCCTTCTCGCTGTCTTTTTATCTCTCTGCCTATCTCTCCTCCGTTTTTCTGCTTGTTAACACACAACACACACACACACACACACACACATACACACACAGACAAGCAATGTACTTTTCAAATGATCACCTTTGTTGTAAGCCCAGATGACTAGTCCATGAGAGGCTTTACTTAGGCACAGTACAGTGGTATTTTGAAATAAATGCGGTCACGCTCACAATGATAATGTGAAGCAGTTATAATATTTACTAGGAGATACTATAATTGATGTTAATCCATCCAATAATCGTTGAGACATTTCACTCAAAACCAAAAATGTGAACCTCATTGTGGTGCGCGAGGAAAAATCAGGGGAACAGCAAAGTCCTTTCATGGCAAACAATGCAACAGTTGTTAAGATATTTCAGTCTGGACCAAAGTGATCGACTGACCAAAATTGCCATCTGTATAGCCATCATGCTAGCGTGGTTGAAAATTCCAAACATTTGCTGATTCCAGTTCTCATATATCAGGATTGTGTGACTTCCTATGATTTATATGATTGTAAATGGAATATCTTTGGGTTTGTGACTGCTAGTCGGACAAAACGGGCGATTTGGGAAATTGAGACGAGCATTTTTCACAATTTTGTGAAATTTTATTGACAAAACAATGAATGTATTCATTGAAAAAAAAAGATAATAAAAAAAAGAATAATTCATCTTACATAATCTTTGCCAACCATTAGTCTTACACTGAGGTATTCTTCTAGCTGTCATGATGGATAAATCTGGAATGAATCTGCCACTGTAGCCACAACTAATGTTTTCCTGTCTGTTGTTTCTCCTCTCACTCTCCCTCCAGGGCCGTACTACAATCCAAGACCAAGGCAGCGCATCCCCAGGGACTTGGCTATGTGCGTCACTCCCAGTGGACAGTTCTACTGCTCCATGTGCAACTGCGGAGCCGAGCAAGAAACGGACTTCAGGCAACATCTGGAGAGCAAGCAGCACAAAGCAAAAGTGTCAGAGTTAAGATACCGCCACGAGATGGAGAACCTCGGCTACAGCTAAGAGACACGAGAGGGGAGGGGGGTGGGAGAGAAAAGATAGAAGTGAGTGGGACAGAATAGTTGGAGAGACAGTACAAGACCAAAGTGCAGGAATGTGTTTGAGGGGCATATTTAGTGAAGGGATTAGCCCTAATGGCCTCAAGATCCTGTTGCAATTCATTTGATATATGGATCAAACACTAAAATCCTCATATTTGACATAATGCTTTACCATATGAAGCTATAATTGGATTTGATGGATTTATTTGAGCTGGGTATTACTCTTGAAATACAGTCTGTATAATGAAGCATGCGGCAACATGTATGCAGAGATCAGGAGCCATGCATTGGAGGAAATAGTATATTTTTGACGTACAAGTCTTGAGACATAAAAACAGTCTGTTTTATGCTCTGAATCAGAACATTTGATCCACCTCCTTTTTTATACTGTTTCTGATCCACTTTCCTCCAAGGCTTTGAGTGGGTTGCATTCTGACTCAGGATACAGGTAAATGGAAATGAATTGCAAGTAAATCTTGAGCTTGTTCGGGCTACGGGGAGAAGACTAGTGATGCACAGAGAGCCAATGTGACAGGAGAGGAAGCATAGGAACAGTTGGAAAAGACTGGGACATGCAGAGGGTTCAAGCATTAAGAGAGAATCTAAAATGTAAAAAAAAAAAGAGAGAAACTGGTTTGAGGAAGGAGACACGCATAGAGGCAAACAGTTGAGGTCAGAACAAGTCTCATCTTTGGGAAAACAATCATGACTGAGGTCAAAGTTTTAGTTTGAGACTTGTTTTTTTCAATTCTTGTGTGTGGATCAGCCCTACAGGTATTTTATACTGGCCCAACAGCAGGGACTACAGAGCCACACGGGACACAAAAGAGCAAATTCAACATCTTTATAATCTAACACAGGTATTAAAATCCAAAGCACTATTTGCTAATTAAAAAAAACAAACAAAGCACAATGAACAACATCATGTGGAAAAAAACAGTGTTACATGAATCTGTTAGCCTTAGCTGACCTCTTAGTGGTCCTTTGGTGTGTATCAGGCTGCAGGCTAGACCATGGCTAGCCTTGTTTGTGCCTTTAGTGAGAATTAGGCTAAAGAGTAAGCTTTGGCTATAGCCATTTTGGAAATATAGTGGAAACCAATCTACAGTATTGATTGGGTTTTTCTATATTCTGTCATCTCTCTTCTTGTATTAAATCCACACAAATATTATGTAAATATTCTCAAATGACATTGTAGATATAAATATAGTATAATATACATGCATACTATTGATTCTTTGGTTAATGTTAGCCTAGCATATATTGTAAATACTCATAATCTATTTAATAATGATCAGGAATCTTGTACAAAGTGTGCACTGACTGAATGTCTACCCATCAGCACTGTATGTTTGTGTGTGGATTTTACTGTAGACCCTCCACACCACTTTGGGTGATGCCCTCGTTCATTGATAGTAACTCTGGTACCCTCCGTCTGTGGTTAAAGGCTATTAGTCATCACTTTGATCGTGCTGGACGACCACATGCTTCTTCTGAGGCACGGTATGAGCTGAATCTTTGTCTTGGCAATACAGCCAGACTGTGAGGAAGAAATGTACAAACACATTGGAAAACTTATAGGGATGCGTGCAGCCGAAAACTCCAAACTTCTAATTAGTTTTGCAAATGGCAAATGAACATGTGCAGAGCTCGTGGATGTTTTTAGTTGTAAGACATATCATTTAATTCTCCCACTCACTCTTGATTCCTAGAGGGGGCATAAGCAGGTTTTACTGCAGTGTGAAACAGCTGCAGAGGAGTGACATGGATTTTGTCTGGATTTGCAGACAGATTTTTGTTGTTGTTGTTGTTTTTACCCTGTATGACCCAGGTCCAGCTGTTTTTCAGTCACTAGCCCATCCTGAAACGATCAGTTATGTAATTGGAATCAAATTTGATTTTCTGTTTCTGTTTATTTGATTTTCTGGTCCAGTTCAGTTGCTGAGCTGAACACAGTGCAGTTACATGGCATTTGGAGTTACACAGTCACACTTGAAATGACTTAAAAGTGTGTATTTTGCCTTAAATGTTGTTTATGATCTTCATTACATTCAGAAGACAATGACAGGGTCATAAAATTTACATTTTTATTGTTTGAAACACAAAACCTGTCTTTTTTATTTGCAGATTGTTTCCTTTAAATAGGAAAAACGATCATATTTATGCCTCAAAAAACATTTTATGTAGCAGCTGAAAGGATTTTCCATCTAGATTTAGATGGATAGAACAAGACATGTTTCAGCTATACAGTATACACTAATTGAATGCTTCTGTAGTTCAAAAGAGGAGAAGAACCTTCCTCCTTTCACTTTAAATTGGCTTTTCCAACTTCTCCTGCAGAGCGGCCGTGCACACACACATGCACGCACACTCCCACATAATTCAATCAGTCAAAGGCCTGATCGGGTCACATAATTAGATGTGTTATAAAGTGAAATGAAAGCAGCATCCTGGCTTTCTCTCTGGTTGGGTTGGTTTGCTGTGGGGAGAGGCAGCTGTTCCCATCTTACATATGTCTCTAGAGCACAAACACACACCTGATCACACACATGAGGACACTCAGGAGAAAAGCACTGTGAGGACAAAGTACTGTGGTGTTTAGGGATTTAAACATGTGAGAGAGGAACAGCCAGAGAGGGAGAGACAAACACAACATAGAAAATAAAATGGGAGGCTATTTTTTATTAGCCCACTGTGCTGTATGGTTTAATCAAAAAGGAACAAAGAGGAGCTGATGAAAGCAGAGCTGTAACCAAAGCTGTGGGTGAGACACAGGTAGTCAAGGAGTTCTTCACATCCGACGGAGTTGCAGTCTGTTAATAGCAATCCTCCTCCACCTAGAAATAACACGCTTTGTATTACATGAAGGCATGGGTAGCATAACCTTTTATTATGTTGACAGGCTCTTGGATTTAGAATGAGAGTCACACTCCAATGCAGCTTCTTAACACCTTCAGAAAATGCATGAAAGAATAGACTGCAATGGAATGGAGGAAATGAGGAGATCATAGGAAAATCAGGCTGCTAAGAGTCTTTCAGGGAAGACAGTAGTCTGGAAACCTTTTTTGTTTTCGTTCTGTAATAGACTCCCTTAACCAGTTTTTCCCAACCTTTTTGGCTTGGGATCCCTTAAAATATGCCAATATCTACTTGAGACCCCTCACCACAGGTTTTGGGCTGTGTGGATCAAAGATTGTTTTTTTGTCAGATTGACAAAATAGGCAACTGTCCTGGGGCCCCAAACCCTACAGGTCCCAAAAGTCCTAGGTTCACAGCCTGCGATTACATTTTGTTACTGTACTGAAAATTTGTCAGGGAGTTTGTCCATAAGGTTTTACATTATTAGCTAATTTTGCGATCCTGTCTTGTAGAGAAAAAATCAACTGAGACATAGAAAACCCAGGGACAGGTGGTATCTTTTTCCTTTAAGATTTTTTGGGGCATTTTTATTGGACATAAAAATAAATGAAAAAGAAAACAGGAAATAAGGGAAAGGTAACAATTAAGCTACTATGATGCTCGCCAGGTGGTATCTTTCCAGCATATCAGTACTGGTTTTGGAGCCTCTGGGCAAATAATGTAGCTACCGTGTACAGATTGCACTGTACTGGATGGGAACTTGGGGACAGGATACATAGAGTGTGGGAGGTGGGGAACCCCAATGACAAATTCTTGCCCTAAAATTTGAGAAAATGTGCAAAAAAACAAAACAAATATAATTTAGTGTGGCAGAGACTATACTTTCTTCTCTGGTCATCTTGTAACCACTCACACTACTCTTCCTCTTTTTTTCTTCCTCTTTTTGTGATAATATTATATATAGTTATTATACACTATATCAGTCAGGACACTCCAAGAGGCCACAATAGGATATATATGACTACATTTAAAAGTATTTATGATAATTAACATTTCACTCAAAACCTCTTTGTTCCTTTCGAAAGAATTCTGAAGGGAACAGCTCAAAAAGTGCCATCTTATGGTATTTTTACTTGATTCAAGAAAGTCTCAAAACCAGCAGGCTCTAATTGAAAATAAATTGCATAGCCTGAAATAACATAGTAAACGCAATTTGTAGTTAATGGGCTAAAACACGCCAAACCACTGGTAAACTGCCTCTTTTCTACAGGACTATTTTTGGATGAATATTGTTGCAGTGAAAAGCAATTCTGCATCTAGAGATCATTGGTTGCACAAATGTTTTAAGCAGTCCAAAGCCAACAAAATCAAGGAAAAGCACTATGCTAAATAAAGGCATCTAGGTATAAACCGCCATTAACTGTTAAGAGGTTTAATACTTTTTAAATTGGCACTGTTATTTGCTCTGTGTTCATTTAATTGATTGGATTGCATTTAAAAAAAGTCAGTTTAGTTGTTGTTTGGTCTGATGATATGTTGAAATAGTTCAAATACCCGAGGCACTGTTTTTGTTTTGTTCTGTGTTTACTTGTTAGAGACTATACCGGTTGACAACTATAATGTACTGATAATTATTAGTTTCACTGTTATTAATCAATGCTGTTATCTGAATGCGGATGTGTTGCAGCATCATTATAAGTTGAACTTCAGTGCTTCGTTGTAAATGACCGAGAAGTGTTACATATTGCACCGTATAAATTGTATCTGGTTTATTTTGTGCATGAGTAAAGTCATATTTAATAACTGTTTCTACTATTGAGAGAAAATAGGACAGTGAGGATGCTGTTCGTTTTCTCTGAGGTTTATATGGCTGGTTGGTTGGAAATGTCTGTATGCTGTGCTGCATCTACAAAAGGGCATTGGGAAGAATCATGATTTTGCACTGAATATAAAAATACACTTGTGTCTATAAAGAAAATTATGCTACCATATGTTGTTAGTTTAAGTGAAGACTTTGCTACCATTGTCATTATTTGCCTCTTGATAATTGATATCCTGATGTTTACAATGTGAGAATTTGAAGCTGTGTGGATGTGTATCATATTTGTAACTCTGCGTGTTTATCCACGTGTTGCACTGTTGGACTGATCAGACCAGGGTAGATGGGAAACACTGTGAGGTTGAGAAAAAACACTATGTGACTAAATATATTTATCCATTCTTTCAATTACATTCGACACCACTAGAATGATTTTGACAATCCAAAGAGATTATTATTTTTGAATTATTACAGTAGAGGTTTCATGGGTTCCCAAATCAGTTGTCTGGTGTCTGCAGAAAATGTAATACACATTATTGGGTCATCACTTTTCTGTTTACCCAAAAGGCTTCTTCAGTCCAACTGTTGTGGTATTAGGTAACCATTCTCACTGGTAGTGCAGGAACATCCACTGTTAAAGTCCTCAATTGCAATCACGTCCCAGTAACAATTAGAACCAAAGAAGCTTTTTGGATGACCAGTTAAATTGCAATTTGGGTCAAAATGTTATTTGTTTTATAGCTGGATTTAGCACAGTATCAGATTTTGGGAAATTTGCTTTTTAACTTGAGAGATAGATGTGAAGATTGATACTACTTTCATGTCTGCGGAGCTAGAGCCAGGAGGTTATTAGCTTAGCTTAGCATAAAGACTGGAAACAGGGGGACACAGCCAGCCTGACTCTGTCCAAAGTTTAGAAAACCCATCATTTTAAAGCTGTATGTAAATGTAATTAGTAAGATTTAAACATGCTGGTAGGCAGATTATTTTAATTTCGGAGAGAGCTAGGCCAGCTGTATCGCCTCCTGGTTCCAGCTCCATAGATACAAGATTAATATCAACCTTCGCATTTAACTCTCCACTCTACAAAAGGCGTATTTTAGCATGCATCTACTGTGTGTGCCTGTCCATTTCAACTCAATCAAACCATATAGAGATTGGTTGCCTCACATAAAAAAGCCCATGTATTCTGGTCTTCAGAGTGAGTCAGTCTTACACACTGACAGAATTCAGGACCCCTCAGCTCCATCTACTGTCAGGGGCCCCAAACCTCCTAGCAGCACCCCTGTAGGACAGTATATACTCCTGTACTCTCTGTGAAAACCTCAGCACACTTTCAGTGCCTCTGAACATTGTTGCCAATATACCACTGACTGACTGAATGGATGCCTGGACGATTGATACACTGATTACTGAGGCTGTGTGTGTGTGTGTGTGTGTGTTTTCTGACAGATGAATAAACGTGCAGATGATATTAATAACCAAGCTGAGTTGATGATTATTGCAATGAATGTGTGTCTTGTGTGTTTTCTTCCACGGCTCAGCTTGTAACCGCTCCGGGGGAAATAACCGTTCTGTTAGTGGATGCTGTTATTGGCTGTCAGGGAGAAGACGCCCTACATAGCCCAGTTTCCACTGCACTGATAGTCAGGCTTTACTCGTTATTCTTAAAATTACTTCTGCCAAGAAAGCTGTTCTCGTGCCCCTGGTAGTTTGTTTGTTTGTTTGCCTGTCAGCAGGATATCTCACACACATTATGAACAGATTGCCTGAAATGTGGTGTACTGGCCTCAGGTTTAAGTTAGTTTTTGCTAAGGATCCACAAACTTGGATTTCTGCCATTGAATGATTCTTTTGAGATGCTTTAATTGGGCCTGTACTCATCAGGATAGAGCACTAGCATATTAAATGGCTGTCCAGCTTTCTTATTACTCAGTGCTGCCACTTTTTAATGAATGTATGTAGGTACTAATTGTGTAGTTATTGTAAGTGTTAGGCAAAATAGGTCAATTTTAAACCAGCAATATGAGGAGACAACTGTCTGCAGCTGCTGTTAGAGGAACATGTTCAGTCCCAAAGCTGCTGGATAAAAGAATAGATTTATGCTCTCATCTTTAAAATCCTCTCTTCATAAATGCTCCATTATCAGGGGTACCTTAAAAAAATATTCACGCACATGAATTACTATTAATACTTAATATCACATGGAATCTGTGCAGCTTGATATTAATAAATCGTATGCATAATTCCTGCCCTCAATTGCTGCAGGTGCATTAGTGCTGGTTTAGAATACAGCACCTGTTTAATTCAGTTTTAAGCCCTGAATAAAATGAAGCAAATAAACAGGCTACAGTTTTTTTATACTAAATGTTTAGCTGTGCAGCACCAGCTCATAATTGTGCATCTGTCATTGTGGTCCAGAAAGACTCAAACAGACAGTTCAAGCAGATGACTGACAGTTGTCTCCTTCGCTCAGACATCAATATGAACCCTTCCTATAGAGCAGATTGAACAAACATACCAGCACTCTGGAGTTTCATTGGTTCTAAATCTATCTGAGTTGTTAACTGGAAAAATGTGGCAGTTTTTTTATTCTTAAAATATCCAATAAAATCAGTTTCTGAACAAATGTATAGCCAGAAATGGGCCATACAATTGCTCATCCATTATTTTAGAGTAAATGTATAAGAACGAAAGGTCGAAAAGCACCTTAACATATAGTTTATGTAACATAATCACTGAGACATTTACTGATATTCCTTCTATTCTATTCTTACCTTTCAGAGTAAGGAAAGTGCAGATGTCACTAATAACATTAACGAGGACCAACATTCATAATACGAGGAGTAGGACCCTTAATCAGCAAAGTCTTTGTACTTGTTTTACCTTTATAGATATATATCAAGGAAAAAAGATCATACAACACTAACAATACATTAATAAACCACTCAACAACACAGACTATCTTCTATAAAAAAAAAAAAGGTCTATTACAGTAAGTGTCCCAGGGCTGTATGTGTGTTATTAGTTACACCTGTGTGTTTGCTGCAATGACATGTCAAAATGTCTGCTGTGAAAAAGGTTTGACACCTACCTCGGGCTCAATTGATTAACTGCACATGTTTTCTTGAGTCGAATCTTCATAAATGTGTGCATCAAAAAATCCATTAGAGAACAATCACTGCTTCGGGGGGTTAATGCTTGCTGCGACTGAGGCCAAACCCCAATCAGTGGTTTCACTGCAGGTGTTTTGCATTTGACAAATGACAGATTTTCATGTGGCCACAGGTATTGTTTCTGACCTATTTAGTTTAGTTTAGACTGAAAAGCCCTTTACAGGTGACAGGAGTGATGTCGGGGGATTGTTCTGTGTTGACATTGGTTTGCACTCTAGTACATTTGAGCCATACAGTAAATATTTTCGACAATCCCTGCAAGGCCCTGAGCACTATGGCCAGTCTTTGGTGCAACATTAACATTAACATTAAATTAAAACAAATCATGCTAGAATGCAGATACAATTTAAACCTGATTTAAAAGTGATTTCTTCGGCCACTGAGCTTTGCGTGGCAGCAGAAATAAGTTGTGAACAAAGCTGACGTATTGCCTTTTAAGTTGATGTGGCGAACTCATTATGATAGCAGATAGTTTATTTAGACATCCAGCGGTTATGGAGAAACATTAGCATTCATTTAGAGTTGTGTTTGTGGTAACCTGATGAATTTAAGTCCAATATTCACTCTCTTTTAGCTCTGATTTTGGTCTCCACCAATTCCTGAGGGAAATATTTGGCTCTTCAGTGGCCCCATGTTTGTCCCTCTCATGTATTAGCGTACATTCAGGTCACAGAGGTTAGACCCATTAGTTTCTCTAAAAAGGTAATAAATGCTAACCCGCGATGTTTTAAAAACCTAGGGTCATTTAAAAACACTTGATCTTTCTCTTTATTCGGAAACAGAGGATAATGCGATAATGAGAAGCACACACTGGGGTTAGCTCTTTAGTAGCTAAACGCTCCAGTGTGTTTACCAGTTAGGCACTCACTTTCTCTATCTGAGTGGGTAGTGTACACTGGGTTTTTTGG